ATTGCCTCTTGATTGAATGATTTATTCATAGAGAAATGTGAGGTGCCATATTAAGGTTAGGTGGTGGAAAGTAGAATGCAGGGGTCTTGCCTCCCATACTTATCTCTAAACAGTCATGACCTCGAGCTCCTTCTGTGATGTCTTGAGATATGTAAACATATCACCTTCTCTCTCAGCTGAAAATAGCTAGATTAGAGCTCAGAACTCCTGTTCCTTCTGTGATGTCTTGAGATATATAGACATATTACCTTCTCTCTCAACTGAAAAGAGTTAGATTAGAACTCTGGAACTCCTGTTCCTTGGGAGGTGGTCCTGTTCAGTAACAAGAGCCCTTCCCTTCACCCAGATCATGAGGCAATGGTTGGCTGGGGCTGCTGCTGAGGCAGAATCCTCAATTATCTGGATTTAGCATTGAGATTTCTCCCTTCCCCCATCTCACACATACTCCATTGCCCTAGTCTAGAAGGGTAGGGTCCTGAGCAGGGAGACAATAGTGGACGAGGCCTAACCATGTCCCTGTGGCAGATATAATGACCTTCCTGTGTCCCAGAGACATAAATATTTCTCTTTAGGCAACTTTCCTGGAATTCCTGCCCCATCCCCACTACCCGGAGACCTGGGTGCCTGCTTTCTTTCTCATGCAAGGGAGTCTACCAGTTCCTGTCTCAGAGACAAAGAGACCTTCAGTCACTCACCACATTGTTCTCTGTTGCCAGGGCAGGGGGTAGACGTATGCCAATTGGTGTGTGAAAGTGCATGACATAGTCACTGCTAAAGCAGAAATTATAGGGAAAGGTGAATGTGACCTCATCTCCCCTAGGAGCTGAAATTATCATGTCATCTGCTGGAAAAGTGACATTGTTGGCTCAGGGAAATTGGGAGATTTCTGAGGAAGAGGAAGAAATTAACTTTTGTCTCAGGTGCAAATGTCCATTTACGATGACTGTGGGCTAATTAAAGTCTCCAAAAGAGCCTCTGTGATCTTTTTCTCTTCCTGTGGGGAGGGAAAGAGAACTTGAGAATTGGTAAGGATCATAGAGAAGAGGGAGGCAGAGATATGTGATTTCTGCTAACTGAGGACCCCAAAGTGTAGACTTTGTGCTTTTTGACAAAATTTTCTTGTGTGGATGCCACTGAGTCTTCCTCTTCTTCCCAATTCAACTATCTTCCTCTACAATTCTGGGTTCCTTTTAAGTTACTCTTTTCTAAGGCAAAGAAATTTAAGTTGAAACTTAGGTGCTTTCCTCTAGGACATGTTGGGAGTGTTTCCACTGGGATGATCAATCCTGATCACTTAGGAAGGTCTCAGTGTTCACATCCCTCAGACTGAGGGCAGGCAGTTCTGTCCTTTAGTGTAGTCAGAAAACTCAGAGTTTCCAGGTGTCCTCACATTCTCTTACGTGATTCAAGCCTTCAATTCCCCAGACCTTGTGTTTCAGATAAGGAAATTGTCTCTAAAGTTTTTCTGCTAGTTAACATTTTTCCTTCTCTTTTGGCCTCATTTGTTTTGCTGCTGCAAAATATTTTAATTTTATATCTTCCCTATTGCCCACTTCATCTTTTGTGATCTTCCCCACTCCTTGTTTGGTCATGATAACTTCTTCTACTCATCAATCTGAAGGGTAGTTTTGTCTTTCCTCCTTTGATTTGTATAAAACATGACCTTTTCTACCTGTCATTTATCCAGTTGAAACTTGTATTCTTGTATGTTGTGAGGTGTTGGCCTAAACCTCATTTCTGCCAAGGTGTTCTTTAGTTTTCTCAATAGTTTTTTCAAATAGCGAGTCCTTCTCCCAGTAAGTTGGGTCTTTTAATTGATCAAAACTAGGCTATTCATTAGCTTCTTTTGTTCTTTACCCATTCTGTTCCACTGATGGATCTCTCCAATTTTTAACCAAGGCCAAACCATTTTGATGGCTGCTGCTTTGTAAGTAGATGGCTGTTATTGAATTTAGACAACTCAGTGGTCCAATGAATAAGGTATTGTATTGCAATAATGTACCATTAAGGCCTGAGTTCAGATCAATTCTTAGATGCTTGCTAGCTGTGTGGCCTTGTGAAGGTCAATTGACTTTTACCTGCCTCAGTCTTCTTATCTGTTAAATGGGGATAATAATAGTACCTGTCTCTTCAGGTTGTTGTGAGGATAAAGTAAGGTAATAATTTTTGAGTACTTTCTAAATGTTAAAGGCCTATGTAAATGTTCATTATTATTATTATTATTGAAGTATAATTTGAATTCTAGTACTACTAGGCTGTTTCCCTGCCCACTTTTTTCTCCTTATTTTCCTAGAAATTCTTGACGTTTTCTTTCTCCAGATGAATTGTGTTTTTATCATTTTTCCTAGTTCCATTCAGAATCTCTTGGTAGTTTGTATATCACTGAGCAGGTAAATTAAAGGTGGGATTATTATCATTTTTGTTGTGTTACTTGGTCTACTTATGAGGAATTAATATTTTTCCCACTACCTGGTCCAATTCTGTAAAGAATGTTCTGTGATGATGTTCATTTAATTGGTGGGTATCTTGACAGTTTGATTTCCAAGTATTTTATACATTTGTTAGTTACTTTTATTTTTTATGTTCACTAAATTTATTTAAAAAAATATCAAACCTTTCTTACAAAAGAACATTACATTCTGCACACTGCTGTGAATGAATGCCAGAGACACATGGATTACTGATACTTTTTCTCCCTATCCTATTCTGCTCCTCAAAATTATAGTGACCCTAACCAAAGTCCTCATGGTAGTTACAGAAATGGAAAATTATTATTTTTATCATTATTTTTACTGCTCCCAGCAAACAAAAATAAAATTTAATCTCTCTGCTGCTGTTTCAAAATTTTAATGTTAGCTTTGTGTGTCCTTCCTCCCTCCACCCTCCCTGTTTGTAAGGAACTAAATTGATGAACAGCAAAGATTTCACTGTATCTTAAATGCAAAATATCTATGAAGCAGAGAAATGTTGGCTTTTTGAACAGAAGCCGATTAAAAAAGTATGCAGGAATTGTTCAGTTTTTCATTAGTCTGAGAAGAACTTTGCCGAATACTCCTTCACACAGTTTTGCAGTGAATACTGTGCATTCTGTGTCTGGTCTTGTGTTCCTGCAATGGCAATAATTCTATCCTCAGATCCTTCCAAAGGCTTATCAATTTTGATTGACGCTCCAGATTCACGATGTCCTGGTTTGATTCACTGACCACCTTTGCCAATAATACATCAAGCCAAATCATTGGGAGTAGTTACTTGTGTTATAAGAATGGCTCTACCAAGATCATCGTATGAGTCTTGGCCCCTTGCATAGGAATAATGACATATAAAAACACCCTGCGGTTCATAAGCCATCTGCCATTCAGAAGGACTCCCTGTATCTAAGAGTATCAAGTCTCATTAGCAGTTAAAGAAACTATGTCATTATAAAGGTAACTAGGTTTTCCTCTTCTGTTGTAAGCCATGAGATCTTCTCATGTAGGTGGTAGTGGTGGAGGAAGAGGAAGATTCCATATTCTGCTACCATGTCCAGGAGGAGATAGTGAGTGTCCTCTATGAGGGTTCAGGATATCATAATCTCTTCTACAGAATTTTTGCTGATATCTTGTTTTTATATTGCCTAAAATTTTCTCTGTGTCTCTGTCCATACCGTTTCTCAGAGAGTAATACCTTATAACAAAGAAACTTCTTTAAAAAATAAAAAAGGAAGAAAAATTTATCAAAATCAATTAAGAAAAAATTTTATGCAAAATTTCATACGTTTGGATACTTGCTTCTGCAATGACATAGGGCAAGATGCTTACTCGTCATTTTTTGGTGAAAATCCTTTTCATTATAATTTTGCAAGTTTTCAGGGGAGGAGGCAACATTAATTTTCAGTTAGCCCTTTGTTTCTAATCTTTGACCTTATAGGAATAGAGGTGGAGTAGTAGGGTCATTGGGTTAAAGAGATGAACTTTTCAGTCATTTGCCTCATTTTTTCCCCAAATTAATTTCCAGAATATTTGGAAGCATCCTCAGTTCCAGAAATTGCATTTGTGTGCTTCTCTTACCATAACACTTATAGTATGGAATATTCCTATACTTTGTCATCCTTGTCAATTTTCCTGAGTATAAGATGAAAGCTTAGAATTGTTTGAATTTATATTTCTTTTACCATTAGTGATTTGGAAGGTGTTTTTGTGTAGCAATTTATAGTTTGCAACTCTTCCTTTAAAAATAATTTGTTCATGTCCCTTTGCCATGAGCACCTGCATCCACAGCCGTGGTCTGATGCCGGCAGAGTGTGAAGAGAGAAAGAATCACGGGCCAGGTGGAAGATGTGAAGAACAAACTTCATTTATTGATCTGAGGGCTCAGGCTTTTATAGTACTGGATTAAGCAATAGTAACATTATTTTCCATGAAAAGCACAAACCTGATTAAGTGATTTCCTTACTTCCTTGTACCTTGTCTGTTACTTTCTTTCCTGCATCCTGTCCTGTACCCCATCTGTTTCCTCCCTTCCTGCAACTGTTCTCAAGAGATGTAATAGGGGGGTGGTGAGCCAATATCCTGAGTTTCACAGCTGTTGGGTTTAGTACAAGCTACAGGTTAGTCCCTGGGCTGGCCTAAGCCCTCCAACTCTCCAGAGCCGGCCCTCTATATCCCTTGACCACTAATCAATACAGAAATGTGTATTGCTTTAAGATAGTTGTATCAATTCCCTATATATGTTGGATACCTGATTCAATGAGGACATGCGGTAACCCTCCCTCCTCCCCTGACTTGAGAGTTACTTTTCTCATCCTATTTTTGTAAAATTTTTTAGAAAAGTTTTTGAATTTAATTAAAACATGATTGAAATTATTTGTTTGTTTTTCATGATCACCTCTATTTTTTGTTTTGCTAACAAATCTACTTTTGTGCTTAGCTATTATGCTTTACTCTTTTGATGATGTAGCCTCTTACATTTGGGTCGCTACTGCATTTTGAGCTAACTTTGTGATACAGTTCAAATTGCTAATCTCATCCTAATTTATGCTCATTTCTTTCCATTTTCCTTAGTACTTCTTGACTAGAGAGTGCTTCTTGAAAGGAGCACTTCAAACATAAGAGAGTAGCAAAAGCCTTGGGCTTCTGAGTGTCAGTGGTGATCAGCATGAAAGGGCTGACTATTGGATAAAACAAGGAAAGTGCAATTGTGAAACATAGCGCCCAGTGTCTGGTTTCCCTAGCAGAAACTGTATAAATGATGAAAGGGGAACTGGCTGAGTTAAAGCAGACAAAGGTGACGGCCAGCATCAGGATGGCTTTGGTGGCTCTGGTCTCAGGGGAGGCTCTAGGGGAGAGGCAGATGCTGTGAATGTGTTGGACTTTCTGGCTGTGTCTGTGCAGGACAAACACCATGTAGCCACTAGAGCAGATCATGAGACCCACAAACACAGCATCAACAACTGTCTCACAAATTAAAATTTTTATAATGCTCGTGGCTTGCAAGTCAAAAGAAATCTGCCCAATCCTCCATGTTTCATTACTGCTGTTCCTTGAACTGCTATAAGTCATAGGCACAGCAGTATAAAGAAGAAGACTGAAAGTCCAGCTCAGGATACAGCAGGAAGGAATACACTGTTGGGTTCTTGTTTTAACCTGTGCCCACTTAAGGCTGGTGGGACTGATGGTGATGGCCTGGAAGACACTGAGGAGACAGGTGCTGCAAAGAGAAAGACTCTGGGTCACTCTGGTGAGATAAGTTAAGATTTTGCCCATTATGTCTCCTAGGAAAGATCTCCATCCCCAAATGTCTACTATTATGGGGATCCCTCTGAAAATAATCATCAGGGTATGAGCTAAAGCCAAGTTGATGATTATCAAGCTAATGGGTCTTTTTCTGTGACCAGTGATGAACTTCAGGCTATGTAGATAAAGAAGGACCATGTTTCCTAGGACTCCAAACAAAAGCACAGTCAAATAGACCATCTCCAGGTCTTCTTTATAAGAGCTCATTTCTTTGGCATCTTGGAGAGCTTTGGTGTCAGATCCAAAGTCACCTGGGGAGAAACACAGGGGAATGTGACATTTCCAGAGTGAGGATTTCTCTATAACATTCTATAACCTAATCACCTTTTATACAAAGAGTGGCAAACCTTCTCAAATAAGTCGTACCATTCCAATATTTATGAGACATGTTTTCAACTTTAACAACTCATAAATACTTATTAATCATTTACTGTGCATCCTACTAATATGCTACTTCCCAGCTGTCTCCAAACCATGCCTTATGCTCTTGAAATATCGTTTCATCATCCTCATCATCATCCTCATCATCATCCTCATCTTCTTCTTCTTCTTCTTCTTCTTCTTCTTCTTCTTCTTTTTCTTTTTCTTGTTCTTGTTCTTCTTGTTCTTGCTCTTCTTGTTCTTCTTGTTCTTGCTCTTCTTCTTCTTCTTCTTCTTCTTCTTCTTCTTCTTCTTCTTCTTCTTCTTCTTCCTCCTCCTCCTCCTCCTCCTGCTCCCAGTACCTTGGACTGTTGCTAGGGTCATTAGCTGTGATAGGTGAGCTTTTGCCTTATCTTCCAGCACCCATGTCTCCAGGCCACTTCCCTTCCATTATTTCATCGTGCCATTGAACACATCCCTGATCCCTTTCTTTAATACTCTATTTGTTCTGTTCCTCCATTAGAACATAAGCTCCTTAAGGGAAAGAACTGTCTTCTTACTTTAATTCTTATCCCTAGTGCTTAATAAAGCTCCTGGAATATAGTAAGACCATTTACATAGTTTTTTATGCAACTAGCATTGGGTGGGAATGGGTCAAAGCTTGTAGGCCTCTCCTTTGTTCATCCTTACCCTTTAATCAATAGTGACCAGACTAACTATTGGATTTGTTGTTTAAAAAGTCTCATCACATATTAGTCAAATTGCTCTTTTGTCAGTTTCTTCTTCTTTGTAAACAGATGGAGGGGCAGAGACTAAGAGGTACAAGTACAGATGAAGGAAAATACAAAACTAACAATCATCACTGTGAAAATAAATGGGATGAACTTCCTTATGAAAGAGAAGAGGACAGTAGAATATATCAGAGATCTTATTGGAACAATATGTTACATACAAGAAATATCCTTGATTTATAAACATTAACATAAAAGTAAAATTAGCTTCAGGTGACCTGAAGAAAACAATCATGTTTTCATGTAGCAATCATGATTTCAGAAAAGGCCATAGTAATAATGGATATGATAAAAGAAGATATGCAAGGAAACAACATTGCACTTAAAGATATAAGCAAGTTAATATCACTTACATATAGCATACATTAATTATATATCCATATTTATTATACTTTCTGTCATCATACACAGACATATTACAACCTCAATATTTAAAGGGAAAGTTAATTAAACTGTAGTGAGAAATATAGAGTAAAAATGGGAGACCTCATTTTTTTTTTTTGATGTGGCAATTGGCTTTAAGTGACTTGCCCAGAGTCACACTGCTAATAAGCATTATGAGTCTGAATTCAGTTCTCCTGACTCCAGGACCAGTGGTCTATCCACTGCACCACCTAGCTGCCCTGAAACCTCATTTTTGAAGCTATTTGAGGAATGAATTCAAATTTATAAGAATGAAAGTTAATCCGCAAATGATAAATGGTTGAAGGATATGAAGGTTATGTTTTCAAACGAATAAATCTAGATATCAACTTATGTATTAACAGGTGTTCAAAGTTTTAATGATAACAAAACACATATTAAAGCAATACTGAGGTTCTCCCCTTCCACCCATGCCAATGGCAAATATGACAAAAATGGAAAATTAAAAAATGTTCAAGGGATTGAGGCAAGGTCTAGCCACTCTGGAAAGCATTTATAAGCTTTCATAGTCACCAGACTGCCAGAAATACCACTGCCAAGCCAATACCACAAAGGATTAAAATGAGAGGGAAAGAAAGGATTTCTATGTATAAAAGTATTTCTAAGAGCTCTTTCTATAGTGTCAAAGAACTGGAAACTAAGGGGAACCCTCTAAATTGTGTAATAGTTGACCACAATTATGTATATTAATGTAGTGGAATAGCATTGGTCTCTAAAAAGTGATGAAAAGGAGAGTTTTAGAGAAATCTGGGAAGATATATGGGATACAGGGTGAGCCAAACCAGAAAATTAAATTATTCAATAACAAAATATTTTAAAGAGAAACAACTATGAAAATTCAGGAACTCTGTTGCAAGGATTAGCTATGATTCCTGAAACCTGATAATAAAATATTACAGAGACATGATGCAATCTTGATGAACAATTACAAACACATACATGTGTATGTATGTGTGTATGATTTTTACATACGTATGTGTATATATACATACATATGTATACACACACACACATATATATATATATATGCACACACACCCATTTTCAGACTCAGTCAATATGGGAATTTATTTTACTTAACTATGCTTCTTTATTAGTCACGTTTTGTTTTCCTAGTTTCTTTACTGGCAGCAGGTGAAATGGAGAAAATCAATGTTTGTTCATTCAAAACAAAATAAAAATTTAAAACCGCAGTTGCGGACCTTAATGGATATACTACTTTCAAACAGACAAATCTCATGGAAAGATAAAACAACACAGAAGTTAAGGACCTCAATAGACATTTAGAAAAAAGTTAGAGATGTGAGATCTCTGGTGATTATTGAATAGGAACAGACAGTAATTTACACCTTTCTCTGCTATGCATGGCACCCTAACGATAAGTAACCATGTTTGGGGGCAAAATACCTCATAAACAATAACATCTAGCATTAATAGAGTGATAATAATGACAATTATAACAGCTCGAATTTGTAATAGTGCTTTAAGAACTGTGAAACACTTTATGTAGCTTACCTCATCGGGTCCTCATAATAACTTTATGTGCCAAGTATATGCTATTATTATCATCCCCATTTTATAGATAAGGAAACTGAGGCAGACAAAGGTGAAGTGATTTGCTTGTGCTCACATACTTAGTAAATATCTCAGGCATGATTTGAATTCATGTCTTCCTTAATACCAGTTCAGAACTCTATCCACTGTACCACTCAACTGGCACCAGAAACATACAAAGAGAAATGACAAAGTGCATCTTTTTGTGAGCCAGTTAATCAATCAGCATTTAAGTGTCTATATTTGCTGGACAGTGTGCTGCATGCCAGGGATTCAATAAAGGGCAAAGGCCAGTCCCTGATCTCAAGGAGCTGAAAGTCTAATGGGGGAGACACCCACCCACACCCACTCTGTAGGAACAAACTGTATACAGGATAAATTGGAGATAATCAGCAGAATGAGGACACCAGAAGTAAGGGCGGTTGGGGAAAGTTTCCTGTAGAAGTTGAGGTTGTACTTGGGACTTGCAGGAGGTCAGGAGGTGGAGATGAGGAGAGAGAGGATCTCAGGCATGGGAGCCATCTCATGAAAGTGCCCAGAGCCTGGAGATAGAGTGGCCAGGGTCACTGGACTGAAGAATCTCTGAGAGGGTCTAAAGTATAAGAATCCTGACAATGTGGGAGGAGGGTCAAGGCTAGGCTCTGAGGGCACTGAATACCAAATAAAGGATTTTATATTTGAGGTGAAAGACATTTAGTAAAGTTTATTGAGCAGGGGTAGGGGTGACGTGGGTGGACCTGAGGTTTAGAAAAATCACTCTAGTGGCTGAGTGTAGATTGGCCTGGAGTCGGAAGAGTCTTGTGGTCCTTTAAATCCTGCATTAGGCAAAGACTAGCTATGTGACCCTGGGGAAGTCACTTAACCTCCCTTAGCCTTAGTTGTCTCATCTGTAAAATGAGGATAAAAATAGCACCTGACAGTTGTCAGGATAAAATGAATTAATGTGTGTAAAGTGCTTTCCATAAAACACTATATAAATGCTAGAAGTTTCAGCCATGGTAATTATTCAAGAACTGAGCTGTTTGTTGCCTGAAATCACACGTAGAACTGAGTTTGAGCAGCACTAATGTTTATATCACCTGTTGTTTTTGACATTAGAGTTAGGGTTCCTATAAGCCTCTTCCCCACATTCCCTGCCACTAGGTTATGTCTGCAGGAGAGCTGGGATCTGATCTGGTCTGAACCATTGTGCCTCCCCCAGGGCTTAGCTCAGGGCTCTGCACTCAACAGGGGATTAAGCAGCTAACCAATGGCCTGAATGTCCTGTAAGAAGACTGCCGAAGGTGCCCATTGAAAGGGTCCATGACCACGTGAAGTCAGTTTTTTAATGCAAATACAAGATTATGTATGCTAGGGGAAGTGAGGCTAGGAGGAAACCTTGGATCTTGGGAAATTAGTGGTCTATGTAGACTAAGATCTCAGAATACTATTAGGGTGCCCATGTGTATGGAGAAAACAGGGCTCTGTCAGGTCTGTGGAAGCAACCAGGCAGTAGAAGTTCTCAGTTGAGGGGCAGGGATGGGAGAAACAGACCATCTGGTAACTTCCTGTTTTAAGTCATTGCTTTTGCTAAGTAGCTAGTGGTAGGCAGTGTGCTAGAGTGGATAGAGATCTTTCCTTCAAGTCAGAAAAGTCCTGACTCTGACATCAAACAGCTTGTGATTTTCTGGGCAGGTCAGTGTCTCAGCGTTCCAGGTAAATCTGTAAGACTATAAATTGCAGAACGGTTGCTGATCTGCGTTGCTGGAGATAGTTTCCTTACTGGAATCTCCTCACTTGTGTAAAATCACATTTTATATAACCAATAAATGTTATATAAAAAATCTCCTTAAGGAACATGACTGGGATCAGCACCTTTAAAACTTAGCATCTTGTGTCAGGCCCCAAATCCTGTGCTCAGGAGTTACACAGAATTGTACTGTATAACACATGATGAAATAGTTTTTGTGACCCTGTTTGCTCTTTAAGGAGCTTAGAGTCAGAAAACTCCTTGGCAGCATAATATGACCATGTTTTCAAATGAAGATACAGTAATATCTCACCAGGGTCTCTCAGCTATGGTCTGTCCCAGCCTGTTCCTCTTCAGGCTCCCACAGCACCTGGATATGGAAGGTTGA